CCAGCAAAGGACCAGTTTAAACCAGCAAAGGACCAGCATAAACCAGCAAAGGACCAGCTTAAACCAGCATCCCAGCGTCAAAACATACCTAACCAGCATATGCTGGTTTTTTTCAACAGGGTTACAATGGAAAACCATGATTGTTTCGCTTTACTGCACCTCCGCTGTATTGCAGCGTGAAATCACAAGTAGTCTGTAATTATTTTATATGATAGGCCTACTGTCACACTGTGTAATTACTAATTGGGAAAATGTGCAGTCAGTTTTTGGTATTTGTAGTTTGTTCCATTAACACTTTAGAAGTAACAATTACTTGTTAGGCAACCAGTCTAAAGTAGTCATTACCTTTTAGTGCCAGCTCGTAACACACACACACACACACACACAAACACAGAGAGAGAGAGAGAGAGCGATATGTGTACACAGCAGAAGAGCCCATGTGTGAGACACGTTCAGTAGTTTTTGAAGCCTTGATAAATCTGCTGCATATGGTGGCTTGACAATCTTATTAACACTGAAGATTAATGTAGCTGATATATAAAATGTACCACCTGTGGACATCATGTTTATGTTGACAAAATGAACGAGTGCCTTTGACCAAATCTGTAGTACCATGACCAAATCTAAGACCCGACTGAGAGATGATTTCATATCCTGATATACTAATAATTTGTTACACTTAAATGTGTTATAATAAAATAATATTACATATAACAACTGTTACGGATACAATACTTTTAAGTATTCAGAAGTAATAAAACACATAATTGACTTCTGTGGAGGGAAGACCTCTGTGTTTCCTTCTATCATCCACTAGATGGTGGTCTTGTAGTAGCTACTGTTTTTGCTTTTTGCGTACACGTGCACCTGTCTGGAAGTGGACTTGTTTTGTTTTCCTGTTAACGTTACACTTTTCTACTGGTTTCCAGTTGGTCTCTCATTGATCCTGACCTATGGTTTGGACTTGTAGGCTGCTGTTTTCCACGGCTGTGAACAACTCTGAGTGCAGAGTCCATTAATACACTTAGTAAAACAATTTATTGCTGTGAAAAAAGAATCGGACATTATCTATGAGGCACAGTAGCTGATGGTATCTGCTCTGGAATGTCTTAAAAGGAATTTAGCAAATGAGCTACACATTCATTTTTCTTTTAAGTGATTTTAGGCTGTATGATGAAAACATGATTTCCACAAATGTTCAATAAACAGTTACATTGACTATTACTGTTTATCAGAACAATTCTTCTGTCAAGTATAGTTCATTGTTCTAACTGTAGGCTGTGTACAGGTGCCAAGAGATTTTCTACATAGTGCATTGCTATGGAATGAGCTGCCACAGATTTTATAAGGGCTTTGAATGCAGCTATTTACCTATCTGCTTAATAAATGCTTTTGAGCTTAGAGAATAGCTGTAAATAACAGGGTTTAAGGGTTAGGGTTTAAGTTTACCATTAAAGGTTTGCTTTCAATCTAAGGTTAATCTAAGAATTCTTGTCTTTACTCATGTTTTTTCCTGAACTGCACATGGTCATATTCCAGAGGTTGTGATTTATTTTACACTGCTTATACTGCATATTTTTCTCAAGGCAAAACAACAGAAATTCTGATAAATGTTCATACAAAATACCTCAGAATGATATTCAACAGCTGGGAACTATAACTCACATCTTGACCTTTTTACTTTTAGCTATAATATATTTACAGAACAGTTTGTTTCAGAACATTTTGTTTGTTTAGATTGGTTTAAAAAGCCACCTGCTGTTTTAATGTTATTTATACTTGTTCCTGATGTCTGTATTAAAGCCAGTTTTCAGTATTTTGGAAGCAATCTAGTGAAGTAATACATTCTGTTCCTGATCTGATCTCAATAGGTGCTTTTGGATAAGGTTTTTATCATTTATCTAAGCCACTATGTTATTATATCCGGGGCTGCATTTCCCAAAAGCATCGTAAGCCTAAGTAGATCGTAGAATCATTGCCACCAACGGTCTCTACGATCAACGTCCAATATCTCACGATGCTTTGAGAAACGCAGCCCAGGTGCATCAGCATAGTTACAACTGTACAAGCACTGCACTACCACTAGATGTCACCATATCATTTACGCAAGACTGTAGAGGAATCTTTTGCAAGTTGGGGCTTTTTACCCCAATAAATAAGCATATTATGAAAAACTATTAAATTATTTCAGTTAATTCAATGAAGCAAAGTTGTGGCTTTTTGTCCCAATAAATATGCATATTATGAAAAACTATCAAATTAATTCAGTTAATTCAATTAAGCAAAGTTGTGGCTTTTTGTCCCAATAAATATGCATATTATGAAAAACTATCAAATTAATTCAGTTAATTCAATTAAGCAAAGTTGTGGCTTTTTGTCCCAATAAATATGCATATTATGAAAAACTATCAAATTAATTCAGTTAATTCAATTAAGCAAAGTTGTGGCTTTTTGTCCCAATAAATATGCATATTATGAAAAACTATAAAAGTAATTCAATTAAGCATTTTCAGGAAGCCTGCAGTAAATAATACTAATAATAATAATAATATAATAATCCTCAACTCATGTTTTCACTAAATCAACAAATGTAATTCTAGCTATAAGGTGTCTAGCTTATATCATAACAATTAATTTTTTATTTACTTTGGTTTCCAAAGTATTTAATAACGCTTAATAAGTCAGGCTAAGTTTATTTATCATTTAGCGTATATCTGAGGAACACAGAACATCATCTTGGCAGTTAGAACATCAACAAAATATTCTATCGACCAAATATTATTTATTCAAAACCAAGAGGGATGAAATACACAAACAGCTAATGATACTGTGGAAAAAAAAACACACACAAATGCGGATTTTGTTTTGGATACTTGTTTTTGAAACCAAGCAATGCTTACGGTTGCCTCAACGTGCACCACATGACACGGGACAAACACTGCAGCCAAGGAACTTGTAATGATACACTCACAGTCATTATGAATGTCATCCGGCTAGCTCATATTGTAACTGACAGGTGAATCCAAGACATATAGACTTGACATTTCCTGGTTACATTATTTGATCAGACCTAGAGATGTGTCACACTAATCAAATGCATATAGCCTAGTAATGAGGTCACTGCCAAAGTACCGGAAAATGTAGGCTACTTTGTTTAAAGTTAGTTTGGCAGATATCAAAAGTTAACCATAATGCTACAATAGGCTCTTCTAGAGTTACAATATTAATAGTCCACTATTAAACGTAAAGTTAAAGGTGTCATAGGTAATTATGTAGAATAGAAACGCACTAGTGCTGAATGGGAAACATAATCATTATTGCGTTAGGCTACATAAAAATTACACCGATCTGCAGTGGCGTATAAAGTACCTGAAAGCCATACTCAAGTAAAAGTGCAGATATCTTACCAGAAAATGACTTTGGTAGAAGTTGAAGTCACCGTTTAAAATATTACTTGAGTAAAAGTCTTAAAGTATGTGATATTTATTGTACTTAAGTACGAAAAGTATTTTTTTAATCTTAAACGTACTTAAGTATTGAAAGTAAAAGTACAAGTAAATGCAAAATGGAAAAGAAGCAAATAAATATATATAAAAATGTTAATACACAGCTTGAGTAGCAAGATTGTATTCAGTTTTAACTCTTTCTTCCATTTTGTATTCATCCGGTACTTGGTGTCTTTCACTCCAACATAAGAAAACATTTCTGGAATCTGCATCTTAAATAGCATTTAGATTTACACAATTTATGTATCTCAGAGGGGACATGGATGCATTTAAACTGCAGTTACAGATGCATAAATAGGCCTAATGTTTTTTATTTTTAACATAAATGTTGAATACTGATATTTAAAATAATTAAAAACATGAAAAAATAGTCGAAATGTGAAATTAAAACCGCCAGGTGACAGCAATTGTGATAAATAATAAGTCATTGAGATTCAACCGATTCATTCAAACGACTGATTCATTCAGAAACAAAGCAAGTGACTGTGTTAATGAGTGAATCACTGAATCATTTATTCAACGCATACAGAAGCATTTTTGCAGTCTACAATTTAGAATGCCTGGAATTTTGAGTTTTAATAGACTAATAAATCAACGTGCGTGCACTCTGTGTGATTTGGTGATATGGCCTAGGCTACTTGATAATGTCAGATCGCACATCATTACAACAACACTTACCATATTATCGCAGACGATGCTGTATCGCACACCCCAGACTCGATTTGAATGGAAAATGAATCATCCGCGGTTGTGCGCGCAGCCGCGCACTTGTTTGCACATGAGCAAAGGTGTTTTTTAAGAGTCTGACTTGCAAACGCCAGACCACTGATTCGTTAAACCTGCTTTCCTGCAGTCAGTGTTCTTCTGACTTCTGACACCACTATTATTACACCACTGCCGATCTGATACTATTAAACTTTAATCTGGTGGTCTTGTGGGTTTCCTTCCGTTTCTGTCAGTTTTGCACCATGTGTTTGTCTCGATTTAATCGATTATTGATCTCCATAAGTTCTATAATTTGTTATTGGGTTATGCGTATCTAGTTTAATTAAAGCCGTCCATGATTCGAAGTAAAATAAAATAGGCTATCTGTACAGACATTTGCGATTAATCGCAATTATTATTCACACACTTGTGCTATAACAATGACTGGTTTTGAAAAATGCAAATAAAACAGAAAATAAAATGAAACGGCTGGTAAAAGTCGAATCAAATGAAAATCGAAAAAGATACTCCGAAACCTCGTGTGTTCGCTGCAGGCTTCTTCAACATGCCATGCTCCCACTCTCTAAACAGCATACAATAATTGATGTTCGGCGTGTGTGCTCATACATGAGTGTTTTCTGTGGTTCAAATCTCTTGCAGAAGAGGTCGCACGTGCACCTCGCCACAGAGGGAAAATCCTCCTCCAGTCAGTCTCGCGTGTCTCACTTCTATGGAAATGAATTCCGTGTAGTCTGCCTCGCCGAGAGCAGCGTTCATTCAGCACTGCCTGAGTAAGAAGATTACTTTTGCACTGCTCGTCTAGATACTCTTTCTCTGTTTAAACATGCTAAGGATGCTAAAGCGCCAGCAGCTCCACCCGGGAATGATTTTATTACTCTTATGGCTCTGTTATTTGATTGAAGATCAAAAAGTGCTAGGTGAGTGCACTTTATTTCGTTCTTTTTTTTTTTTTTGCTGTATATTTGTTTCTTCAAAATTATTTTTTGACACGCTTTAGATATGAGTCTGGTCTGCAATTCATTTAGAATTAAAGTAATTCTTTAGAATGAAGGGAACTGCTTAAATTCAAGACAACTGTAAAGTTTTGCTCTTGGCTCGCTCCTGTGTCCTCGAGACAGGTGCGTCCTTACATGCACCATTATTTAAAAAAGGAAAAAAAAAAACATCCAGAATTTACTATGCGAGATTAAGAGCATTTTATCGTTATCTAAAATAAATGCTCAAGATTGTCCAAATTAGAGGACACCGAGATGCATCTTGAAAATAATAATAATAAGGTTTAATAGTCTATTCATATGATTGTATTATTGTCTAGCAATAATGTGAAGAATAAGTGTTTTGTATACATGCATATTTAGCACACCCTCAAATCAACCATTATGTTTTAGGCATTCGATTGTATTTTTCTCAAATAGTAGGTAGTGAAATTAGACACTGCCTACCTCGTCTGGCTTTCCCCAAAAAAAAATCAGTGGACATAATGCACTTTTTTTTTTACCATTTTAATGCATTTAATTATTAGTATCGCTTTGCGTATTTGTCACCAAAACGGCACGATCATTTTGGAGAACAAAGTTTGATGAAGCTCGCGTGACTGTATGATTTAATTGGATTGTCTGGCGCGTGGTATCCCCGGCGCGAATGCCTAATTTAATACCTAAACACGACTGATTCCGCACAGGGTTCAAAACATCTCTGAACCTTATTGTAAGCAGCGGATAAATGCGTTTGTGTTGCTAAAAGCAGCGTTTGGAACGCTCCTGTAAGTGTGCTGAAACGTGATGAGCGCAGACAGTTGGCACAGAGCGCTCGAGGAACTGGAGTCTAGACTGCCATGCACATTGTTTAAATAGGTACGAGTCTGTCAATCTGCCACTTACTTTAAGACAATAAATCTCTGCACGGTCATAACATATTCGACGACAGGAAAAGCATATTCCCGAGCAGACCAGAAGCCCTTGAGTTGTCTGGGTGAAGGCATGCAAGTGTAAAATAGTCGCATTACGTTGGGAAAAATCAGACAAAATACAGCGGGGGAGGGGGAGCAGGAGAGATCCAGCTAATACAGGCTGCACGTGTTGTGTCTGGGTCATTGGCTTCAGACTTTAATAAGACTGGCTCTTTTTCTTTTTGTTTACAGCTGGTAACTGCTGGCTCCAGCAAGGCAAGAACGGGAGATGTCAGGTCCTCTACATGCCTGGGATGAGTCGAGAGGAATGCTGCCGGAGTGGGAGGCTTGGTACATCTTGGACTGAGGAAGATGTGCCAAACAGCACATTATTCAGGTGGATGATCTTCAATGGCGGGGCTCCAAACTGCATACCTTGTAAAGGTAGAATCCCATGTTCGTTTGTTCAGGTGGAAACGTCCAATAACGTATGTTGCTATTATACGTCATACAAACATATTACATGCGTGTTTAAACAGTAGAAAGAAAAAAAAAGTTACTGTGCCTCAGTGGTCTCTCACACCTTCTTTGTCTTTATATAAATAAATTCAAACAAACAAAATGAGTTGACAATAGATTATCAATAGGTGACGAATGTGTAATAAAAAAAATCCGCCAATTCAAATATCCTGTTTCTGTCTGACTGAATTTTAGAGACATGTGATAATGTGGACTGTGGCCCTGGGAAGAAATGTAAAATGAACAGGAGGAGTAAGCCTCGCTGCGTCTGCGCCCCAGACTGCTCCAACATCACCTGGAAGGGGCCGGTGTGCGGCTCAGATGGGAAAACATACCGAGATGAATGTGCCCTTTTGAAATCCAAATGCAAAGGGCACCCAGATCTGGAGGTGCAGTACCAAGGCAAATGCAAAAGTAGGTAACGCTGCTTTCGCACAAAAAAAAAGATACTGTCTAACCTTGAGAGAGATTTCAGCAGTTGTATCCAGAATCCTACAGTTTATACTAAATAAAGTCCGCTCTAACATACACTAAAGAATAAAGAAAGATTTTGAGAAACTAGGTCATTGGTTGTGAAAATCTGGTAAAACTGTATCATTCAGTCTTCCCTTCTCATCCTCAGAGACGTGTCGTGATGTCATGTGTCCGGGAAGCTCGACTTGTGTGGTGGACCAGACAAACAACGCATACTGTGTGACATGCAACCGCATATGCCCAGAGGTTACGTCTCCGGATCAGTACCTTTGTGGCAACGACGGGATTGTTTACGCCAGCGCGTGCCATTTGAGGAGAGCCACGTGCTTGCTTGGTAGATCCATTGGAGTGGCATATGAAGGGAAATGCATCAGTGAGTGTCAACATAAATTTGACTTGTTTCATTTAAATGAGAAAAGTTGAAAATGGAGAAATGGTGGAATTAGTTTATAGTTCAGAGTGCATAGGCAACAATGGCGAAATCCCAAATGAATTCCATTAGTTCCATTAGTCTTTCGTGACAATCTCAATTGTGATTATTATTTGCAAAGGAAAGTCATTGGTGTCTAACTGTTTCCTGATGTTGGCAACATCCTCTCGTGTGTCATAGCAAACTGAGCGTGACTTGCCTACAGCTCTCCACAACAACAACAAACACGTTTATGAATTTCTACGTATGAAACACTGAAGTGTTATCAGAAGAAACTGACCGCTATTGTCCCCTATTGTCTTTTTAGAGGCCAAGTCATGTGACGATATCCAGTGCAGCGCGGGGAAGAAGTGTCTATGGGAGTCCAAGATGGGTCGCGGGCGCTGTGCAGTTTGCATGGAGACGTGCCCAGAAAGTCGATCGGAGGAGGCCGTGTGCGCCAGCGACAACACCACGTATCCCAGCGAGTGCGCCATGAAGCAGGCCGCTTGCTCTTTGGGGGTTCTCCTGGAGGTTAAGCATTCAGGATCTTGCAACTGTAAGTAATACATCTTAAAAGACAATCCAATGCTGCCCCCAGCAACCACCTCCCCAAAACCTCCCACCCCTCCAAATAACGCCTCTTCATTCCCTTCCTGCTGCTAAGAGTTAAGCTACAGAAAGGTCTTATGATTGGAAGTTCTTTGCATGTCCTCTTTGACTGGCTTCATTAATTTTGTATTTTCTTGAGAAGAAAAAAAAAATGAAACGAAAAGAGAAAACAAACATTTATTTAATAAAGAACCCACAAAAATCAATGGAAATCAATGAATACAATGTAAAAAGAAATGTTACAGAGAGCTCTTTCCAGGAGTCCTTTGACATACTAATTTTCTTCATTTAACTAACAAGAAAACGTGCGGACTAACTTCTGCAGTTAGTGACATTCGAATTCTAGTTCAGTCTGACCTGCTATTGACCAGCAGGTTGAGGTCATATTTCCCCTTTGTTAAAGTGTAAATGTAGAGACTTATATATCATATCAGCTTGTCAATTCCATATTCATGGTGATCATGTAAGAGTTTTATGAATGATGTTTTTTGTTTGATTTCTGCATTTGGCTGTAATCGATTCTTTCAAATGCACTATGACATAAACAGCTCTGAGGGTTTGAAAAGACATGAATCCTTTTCCTTATACTCACATAAGGTGATTGTAACATTGGTGCCATTGTTTAAAAGTTACCTAGACTACCTATTTCGACAGATGGTGCACTAGCTTCGATAATGGATCGATGAAGCTAGAGCTGCCATCAATGAGGGAATACTTACATTCCGATTTGTGCTAGCGAACGAATGGCTTACCTTAACGTTCTCGTGCCTTAAGGTATGTTCGTCATTTCAACGGACCAACTTTATGATCACCTCATGATTTGAATGACTACAGCATTTTACAGTTTGCAGGACAAGAATATGTTATTAGTAGAGCAATGCTTTTTGTTAGACATCTAACGTTAGCCAGGTGAATTTGTGTGTGCAGTCCTGCTGTGGTCGTGTTGTCCTATTTGTTTGTGAGGGACTGCATATTTGTTTCATTGCTTTGCCTGTGTCATTTTTTCAATGTAAACTTTTATGTAGAAAATATATATCTATATTACATATACCTCAGAACTGTGCCATTGCTTGACCACGTAGCTACGGTCGGCCGGTGCACAACCTGTGCATTCAAAGTAATGGATTTAGACACGAAACCAGAAAAAAAAACAGCCATTCATGGAATGCAAGAGCACTTTTTTGGTCTTGATTCAGAAATCTGCCAAACACACCTGAGCCATTAAAGCCTCTGATCAGCCCTGTCCCGTCACACCGCTGACTTCCTTCATTATGTACATCTTGTTGCATAATTTTGGGAGCCAGAGCACCTGGTCAAGCTGTCAAGTAGCCTAGATTGTCAGAGGCTTTGGGATAAAGACAAATACTCACGTACATTCTGCGCTGTTGTGGTCTATATTCATGCAACAGCTACCATGTATTCTCCCATATAGCCATTACTGAAGACCAGGAGGATGATGACGATGAGGACCAGGACTACATGGCTTATATCCGCTTATCACCTGTACTGGATGGATAAAGCACCATCAACCAGTAGAACAGTCCTAGGGCAAGGAATCATGTCCACACTGTACATATGTGTATGCTAATTTATTTTTCAGAGAAAAAAGAAAGAAGTATACATGTAGTTCAGTCTGCTTGATGTTTATTTATACAGTGTTCTGTTTTATAATTTATACATTTACAGTGTCTGGCTTACTTGTCTATCATGTTATTTTGTTTTCACTTATGTTGTGTCTTTCCTTTTTTTTTTTTTATGACCGAGAAATATATTTGTCCAAAGAGAAGCAGTGTTATTTATTGTGAGGTAAAATGCGATCATGTAAAGTGTGAGTCTTCTGCAAGCTGTAAATTGCATTCCCTGAGCTGTATAAACGCTTATCAATGTCAATTCTGTATCACAGATGTTTTTCACACATACCTGCATGTTAGCTTGTGAGTTTATTTATTGGAAAAAAATGGAAACGCATAGGAAAAAAATGTCACTCTTTAATGTACATGTATATTTTTGGTTTTGTTTACAGCTCAGTGTAACTGACCAAAGGGATTTTCTTGAACGTTCTTCAATGTTTTTGTGATATGGTGCAGCAGGATAACATTGAAAATGAGCTGTTTCTCACATAAGAAACCCGATGATTCACTTGTACAAAATGTCGTCCGTCATCAACAGCAACAGTTTGACTTTTTGACAATAGGGCAGAAATTAGCAGTGGGTTATACTTGTTCGAGAAAACTGTGCCCTGCAACTTTGTCTTTTTTTTTCCTTGCCAATATTCTGCTCTATATTGCTCTTGCAGAGCTAAAGAAAAGGTCATTAAGAGGACTCCGTACCAATATATAAAACATTCACTTTTTCACTTTGTCAAAATGCATTTTTATTTTCAGACATCTCAAGATAAAAAACAAAATTCAGTTATAAATATATAGTTTTGTATTTTTAATGTAAATGTCATATGTATATACAAAGTTTGATGTATTTGTACAGATATTAAGAGTGAAATCAATAAAAAAAATACTTATCAAATGGTCACTGTGGTGTGGATTTTATTAAGAATTGAGTTCTGCCATTAGCTGATACCATGCACCCATCTATTTATTATCATTCTCATTATTTTGTATGTAATCAAAGTGTCCCGGTTCTACTGCTTAAGCCTTAAGGCCATTACATAAAACGTTTTTAACTGACATCATGAATCTACTGCCAGAAAACCCACATCTTTTTTCCACCCACTTCAACTAGTAGGGATATAAATTGAACTAAATTAAGCTCAAATATTCCCATAAGGACCTAACTTTAAGTCTGGGCTTCTATCTCAGAGCAATCAATTGTTAAACTCCCTACAAAGCTTGTTTTTACAAACTGGTTCTCTTTTCCTCATCAAAAATCAATCACACACGATCCTACTACCTACTGATAAAGCTGAAATTGCACTGCATTTTGGCTGAAAGGCTCTAGCCTGACCTCACACAATCACAAAATTCACATCATATCACTGAGCCCCTGTAATGCTTCCAGACTCCAAACATTGCTCTTTCCTATTATGCAAAGCTCCTCATGAAGTTATCTGGTGTGGCTTTGCTCTGTTCTCAGTTTTGGAAACAAATGTATAAAATCTTTTTTTTTTTTTCACATAGGCCATTTATAAGGCAATGGTGTCGTGTCCAGATCAGTTAAGTAAACCTTGTCACATCAATGATTCATTCATGAACCACGTTTTAACGATTCCAGGCAATGCAGATTTGTAATGTGATTTAAAATGAACATGGAAAGTGTAGTACTGACCGCTAATGTGCTAGCAGAGATGACAGAGTAAAACGGTCACTGCTTTTTCAATTGAACGTCATTTGAAGCAGGCAGGTGTTTTACTCATCTGGGCTCATCCCTGGAGGAGCATGAGAGTAAACATATCTAGCCGCGTTCAGTCTTTGAAGCTTGACATTTACCTCATCCTCCCGTTTCAGAAACATTAACACTAAACTGTCTTCAAGAGGGTTTGAAGGGTGGAAAAACGAACCACCTGACAAGAAGAATTATTTTCTGAGGAAACAGAGAGATGGCATTTCAAAGCACACGGCTAGCACAAACAACAGCAGCTACTTCAGTAATAATAAGTGCTAAATCCTCACACTAGCACAGATATGGTGTCATTCCAATGATTCTGAGTGAAGTAACATCCAGAAGCACAGTAAAACTCGAGAGTTGTAAAGATAGTTTATTAGATACATAGAGTATATTATTTTTTACAGGTCTGTTAAAGATAACACAGACAGGCAGAAACGGGATGTCTACTTGGCCGACCTTCTAGTCCTTTTGTCCCAGGAAAAGTTTGCTCCATATGACTTCACTCTCGGCTTTGGGACCCTCTTTTCTGCTATATCATAACTCCAACCTGTAAAAATAAACAGGCCCAGAGCACGGTCAGCCAAGTATATCTTAGAGGCTGGATTTGGGAGATGTCCACTGCTGCTGATGTGCAGTGTAAACACCAGGCCGGAGAAGACAGGGTGAGGATAAATGTGAATCTTTATGCCACAAACACAAACACAGCTCCTTTTCAAAGCGGAGCTTCAGCTCCCTCAAGGGACATTTTTGGATGCGATTCTGATGGGATGATTGTAGTGTTTACAAAATATGGTCACGATAGTGGAAAAACGTTTAAATGGATTACCGTTCTTCTCTACGAAAGCGATAGCGTCCTCCTTAGTGCTGAACGTAAGCACCATGTTGGACAGGGGGTCTGCCCTGGATTGGGAATAAAAATCACTTCAGACATTGGATTTTTTTTTTGGCAGTTCAAAAAGCATGATTATTATGATGTCCACTCACGTGGAGGCCCAGCCCATCAGTGGGTTCTCCCAGCGTTCCCTGGTGTCAAAATCCATCTTCCACTTTTGGGTATTTTTGACGCCAGACTGCATGGCATTGCGGGCGGGCACAAAGATACGGACCTTGCGGGTCTTAATATGCTCCTCGGGAACGCCAGTCAAAGTTGTGATGTCCTGGCAAAATGAGGGAGACGAAAGAAGAACTGATAAACTATGAGTGCATAAGGCAAATCTTTTCATCAAAACCCAAGCATTAATGTGTGGTTTGCCAAAAATAAGATTCACATTCGTGCTCTCATAAAAAAGCATAAAAAGCTTTGCTGCTCTCCCAAAGGGCATAAAAGCCCAAATACTTCCTTTCTTGAATGCAGACGTGTACTTGTCTAGACAAGCTAATTTCTCACACTCTCAAAATGCATCGAGACAGTCTACTGTGATCCTCACTGCAGGTCAGAAACCTGGGCTTTCAGGTGTGAAGGTGAAAAGAACTCTGCAAACTTGAAGCGAATAGTACACTAAACTTAAATGTGTTTTTGCAAGTAAAAACTATGAATTGAGTAATTTACAATGAAAAACAGGCATTCCCAGATGTCCTTGCATGACATCACATTTGATTATATTTTATCTAAATAACTTCGTTTCTGCTTAATTTTGTTATCATGAATTAGTACATTAGGATGTTTTGTTTTACATATTTAGTTATTTAGTTTAGTTTTGCTGTTTATTGCTTTATTATAGTGTTGCATGTGTTACCCTGATGGTGTTTTGTCTGTACAGTCTACATAAGTGCACTGGCCATGTTTTATATGGCTATTTATTGTACTGCCTGTATTATTACTGTGGTTATCAGTACATTTTATGTTAAAAAGTAGATTTTAATAGTTTTAGTAAATTGGTGTATTTATATTATATAATTTAGTGAAATATACAATTATAAGGTGTAAAATATGCCATTTCACAATACCTGAAACATTGTCACCATATTTTTTTTTTACGGTAAAGTTCTGGCAAACCAAAGGATATTTTTATGGTGCACTTAATCGTCATTTGAACAATCTAATTGATTGAAACTGATTTTTATTATACCAAGATCGATCTTCTAGTTCAAGTCAATTTTTTTGCTGTGAAAATGTATTTATGTCGTGCTTTCATCCTGTATATACCGCTGAACTGAACTCGCTCAACTGCACAGTATCAAAATGAATATTTTTGTTTATGTATCAAGTAAGTTCCATGTGTCAGTGTTTCTAAACTGCATTTCAATGAATCCGTAATGCCATGGCCCCCCCAAAAAAGAATAAACAATGTAACCACTGTAGTCTGAGTCACGACGAATGACTCTTACGAGCCGGTGCTTTCAATATAACTAAAACATACCAAAACAAATCAGAATAAATATGGAATCAAATCGAATCAAGATCTTGTGATTTACAATTCAGTCAGGATATCTGTACGAATACCAGCAAAAACAAATACCCAGAGCACAAATAATACTTAAACACTGCTCGTGGTTTTTTTGTATAAAACGAACAAGAGAGGACTGTTTTAAGAAGGTTATCTGAAAAATGTGTGTGTAACATGCTGCACGGTCCCAGACTCCAGTGTGGTGCTGCTGAGCTGAAGGAGACTGCTGAAAGGCAAAGAGAGCCCAATTCCTTTGGGAATTAGCGAGCAGCAATGGGAAGTCGGCAACAACACACAGACAAACCTCCCAGCAAGCAGCCACCCAAGGTTGTGAATCCTACAAGCAGCTCCCCTTTCAATGCAGGAACTTCACACATTTCAATGGCCATTACAACTTCAAAGAATCAAATTTTCATCATTGTCTGTCATCTGCCACTTGATTCATATAAAAGAGGTTCTTTAGCATGAACTGCGAACAAAAGCCTGCCAAACACTCTGGCTTACACAAAGTTTTCACGTGACACTCGAGCAGGCAGGGAAGAACATACAGTACCATACGCTGTTTTAACGGGACGACTTTAGTGAACAGGGGGAAAAGATGTTAGACTTCGTAATGAGCAAGATTTATAAAACTTTGTCAAAGATGACTTTAATCGCTAGCTCTGATCCACACCAGTAACTTCGTGGCAACAAAGATTAAGCAAAATGTCAGAACTTTCCATGATGTGCATCTAACCTTAGTATCAAATTCAGTTGGCT